AGCGCCAGGAGAGGGAAGGGGTTCGGATCCCTCAAACTTTTCTATTCTGCAGGTGACGGGCTCCAGCGACCCTGTGGTGATCTCTGAGGATGTGCCAAAACATCCTCGAGAGCTGCTCTCCTTCAAGCCCAAACTCAAGACCATCCAAGTGGTCACCCAGGACCTGATCCGGGAGCTCATGTAAGGCTGTGCCCCAGCCCTGAGGGGTTTTTGGGCCCAGCAGGTGTCAGTGCAGCATCTCAAAATCTCTGGGGAGCAGGGATTGGCAGTTTGCTCTGACCGCCCCTGGGGATCCTGCCCCCGGCATCCCAGCCTAGTGCCATTTTCACCACACTTTCCCTTCCTGCCTCACCCCAAAACAAGAGAGCTGGGTCCCCACGGCTTCCCCAGCACTTCCCACATTGATCTAGCCTGGTTTGTTGGCTGAGTGGGCAGTTCAGGGAGCACAGGGACCTGTTGGGGTCTCTGTGCCACTGAGCTCTCTCCCTGTGCTCCCCAGCATTCCCCAGGAGAAGCCCCAACCGTGTCTCATCATTGGAGAAAAGGAATATGAGAAACTTAAGGAATCAGCTCGAGCCCTGACTGAGGTGGAGCGTTGGGACAGGCTGAAGACCCTGAGAGCCAGACAGGACGCTGCTTTTGTAGGCATTTCCCTTTCTGCTTCCCCCTTTTCCTGCTCCCTAGCAAGCTCTAGGGGTGGTGACTTCAACAAGAGGGTCCCTTTTGTCCCTAATGTTTTGGGGCACAGGGGAGGCTGCAGGGCTCAGGGCTCCATTGAGAGCTGGGCAGCATCCCTGAAATCATGCCCAGCACTGCCAGCCTTCCAAGGGCACGGGGTGTCTGCCCAGAGGTGTGGGGAGGGGTGCCCATGGACATGCCAGGGCCCCAGGAGCCTGACATGTCCCCACTCAGTGTTGGGAACACAGCACCTGAAGTGTGAGCCCTGTGAGCCCTCAGGAAGGTGCCCAGGATTGGGCAGCACTCTCTGTACCCACAGGAAGCCCTGAAAAAGGCCCAGATCGAGGAGCAGAGAAAGGCAGAGCTGGAGGACGAGAGGGACCACGGGAGAGGCGTGGATGAGGAGCTGCAACAGGAGAAGCAGAAGCTGCTGCAGCGAGCGACGAGGATGAGGCTGGAGCAGGAGGAAGGCATGCGGGAACTGAACGCGGTAGGGCCGGCGCTCCCCTCTGTCACCTGGCACTGTTGAGTCTCCCCTGCTCCTTGTGCTCCCAGGCTCTTCCTCCCCTGGCCCTCCCTGCTCCCTGTGTCCACAGACACCTCTTGTCCCCTCAGCTGTTCCTCAGTGCCAAGTGCAACATGATCTGGGACAAGCAAGTCCTGGAGAAGCAGATGATCCTCAAGGAACTGGCAGAGGAAGAGAAGCGCCTGGACAAGATGATGGAAATGGAGC